ACTCTTTTAAATCTACAGGGTAAGAGAGCACTTAGATGTGTGTCCTGAGTTGAGCTCACACCTTTTGCACAGGATGCTGGCTCCTGCAAACAGGTAGGTGGTATTAGCCTGGAAACGAGGCCTTCCTCTTCATCACTATCAGAGTCTGAGGCAGCCGATGGAAGCTTAGGAGCAACAGCACTAGCAGTTCTACACCGATGGTTCACACCACTGGGACCTAGAGGTGGAAGGGAAAAAAATTGTTAAAAAAGAATAAAAGGTAACACTTTATTTGAAGGGGTGTGCATAAGACTGACATAACATCTGTCATTAACATGAACGAGTCTTTATGAATGTCTGACTGTTGTCATGAAGTGTCATTCGGTAATTAATGACACTTTTAATGCAAAGTTGCTCTAAAAGTTGCATTGAAAGTCCATTAAAAATGCCAACTTTGCATGATTTTGTAAATAATAATTTAATGCAAAGTTTGCATTTTTAATGGACTTTTAATGCAACTTTTAGAGCAACTTTGCATTAAAAGTGTCATCATTTACCGAATGACACTTCATGACAACAGTCAGACATTCATAAAGACTCGTTCATGTTCATGACAGATGTTATGTCAGTCTTATTCACACCCCTTCAAATAAAGTGTTACCAAATAAAATTATCAGTTTAACTTTTCTTAACAAAAATAGGAGAATATTTAAGTACAATATCATAGTTTTCATATCCAAAGAAAAGAATTGTTCAAAACCTGCTTGTTCCTCATCAGGAGGTTGTGACGTTCCAGCTTGACAAATGGGGCCTGCCATATTTTCTATCCCTATTCCATCTTCTGCTTCTTTTATGTCTATATGAGGCTCTATCTCCATTTTCTCTTCCTCATATGCAACCTCGTCCACTTCATCTTCATCTTCTTCCTGCAATCCATTTATTTCCAGTGGCTCTTGGAGAAAAACACGTACAAATATTATTCCTTAAGTCCACTGCTTTGTGGGTTAGACAGAAATAGTGTAGGTTTATTTAGAGATAAGAACTTATTCTATGTACACACAAAAGGCTTCTATCTGGGTTAGTGAGCACTTCTCATTTGCCAAGATAATTAATATTATTAAATAATTATTAGCATGTTGACATACCACACCTGTGAGATCGCATGTTTGCTAATTAGGCAGCATCAGTATAGTGCAGATGTGCCTTAGGCTGACCACAAAAAAAACTGTGCAGTTTGATCACACAGAACAATGCCACAAATGTCACAAGTGGTGCCATGACGTCACCTGTCCAGTGGGCTTGTCAGTAACTGACCAATCAGTGGTTGCAATTTGTCCCAAAGTAAACGCCTCTTACATGGAGGTTCTAACCTCTGATGAAGTTGTGGGGTTCATTATTCCAAATGTGCTGTGATCATAGAGATCTTGATAGAAAACAGGGAACATACACTACAGACAAGCTTTACCAAGAGTATTTAGTGGGCAGAATAAAGTTTATTCCTTATCCAAAAGTCCAAATGAGTGTGTAAAAATGTAAAAGATGAATAAATACCTTCAGTCAACCTCAGCTGAATACTACAGTAAATCAAGGGTACAACTAAAACAAATTTGTCTTTATGAAAGTTTTTGTCACTGTTATGGTCACTGACCTCTAGGGGCTCTCTCCATAAG